CCCTGCTCGGCTGGGACCAGGGGGGCAGAGGAGGGAAGGGGCTGCCTGAGCCCAAACCAAAGCACCCCTTCACTGGGCTTGGGAGAGACCTGGAGGCATCTCTCGCATCCCGGTCTCCTCTCTCCAAGGGTTTTGCTGGGGGTTTAAGGCTGCACTGGCCTGCAGGGGCAGCTCAGCCATGGCCTCCAAGGGCCACGTGTCCCCCCAAAGCAGCCGGACAGCAGGGGCAAGAAAGCAAAGGGGGAAGAGGATGATGATGCCTGAAGCTCCACCTTGGCAGCCCTGAAAACTGCCCCCAAGGCAAGCCCCCTGCCAACATCGATGGGCTGTGCCCCCTGAGAATGGCACTGGGCACCCGGGTGAGAGCAGGGCTGGGGTACCCAGCAGGGCTGGGATGGGGGGACCTTGCAGACCGTGCTGCCTCCCCCCTGGGACAGCTCTGCACCCCCATTCCCAAAAGCTGCCCAGGTACCAGCCCAGGCCGTGATGCTCTCTGTAGATCTACGAGGACTATGACTGCACCTTGAACCAGACCAACATCAGTGCCAACAACAACAAGTTCTACATCATCCACCTCCCTGAGCATGATGGCGCCTACAGCATCTGGAGCCGCTGGGGCCGTGTGATGAGTCCACCTTGGCACCGCTCGTCCCCCCCACCCTGGCTGTCCCCCCCCTGCCGTGAGACCCCCAAGGGCTGGGGTTGGACCTGGTGGTCCCCATCCCTTGTTCCCAGTCCCAAAGGATTGACCGAGTGGCCCTGCTATATCCCCTTGTTGGGGGGGGCTTCAAGGACTTGCCCCCACACAACAGGGTCAGCGTGGCCAAGGGCCAAGGGACGTGGCCCCTCATCACTGTGGTGGCAGTGAATGTGACCCCCCAGCACAGAGTCCTGAGGTGTCTCCCAAGCTGGAGGAACACCCAGACCCGGTGCTAGTGGCCCGCAGCCCACCCATGGCAGCCCCCCTGCTCCCGGGCTGCTCGCCCTGGCACGGGCTGATGGAGCAGGGTTATGGGGAGGGTCCTGACCACTGCCATCTGCTGCCAGGGGGAGGTGGGCCAGTCTAACCTCATGCCCTCTGCCTCGCTGGAGACCGCCAAGAAGGACTTTGAGAAGAAGTTTCGGGAGAAGACCAAGAACAGCTGGGCAGCAAGGGAGAACTTCGTGGCCCAGCCAGGGAAGCACACGCTCATCGAGGTGCAGCCAGGGGCTGGGCAGGAGGCGGAGGTGGCCCTTGGGGTGAGTGTGGTGGGCAGCCAGGGTGACATCGCGGTGGGGTGGTCCTCATGTCCCACCAGAACACCTAAATGGGTCAGCAGGACCAGGTGGGTTTCGGAGGGGGTCTGGGTGTAAGCTGAAACAGCCTGTGGGCAGAGATTTGGGCTAACGGGTTGAGATGGGGCTGGAGAGCATCCTAACCGAGAGTCACGGGCATCTGGGTGGCATTGGCCATGGAAAATGGAGGCAGTGGCTGCCCGTTGCTCTGCTGCCTGGGGACCAGGCTGTCCCCACCGACAGGGGCAGCCCTGGTGCTGTGCCCCCGCAGCCTCCCACGGGCTCGCAGGCGGCGTGGTGATGTTGGGGGTCTGCAGGTGGATGGTGTGGATGGGGACAAGGTCTGCAAGCAGCGAGTGCTGCCCTGCACCTTGGACAAAGTCACCCAGGACCTGGTGTCCCTCATCTTCAGCAGCGACATGTTCCAGGATGCCATGCAGACCATGAATATTGGTAGGTGATGGGGTTTCTGGGGGGTACAGGTGGGGAGGTGAATGAGGGAGAGGTGCCAGTGGATATTAGAGCATCTCCGCTGCCAGCCTGGCATGTGGTGGGACTGTGGACCCCTCATGCCGGCTGCCTGTGGGGATGCTGGAGGTTATTAGAAGTATCTGTGGGGCAAGCAGGGCCCAGCAGCAGATTGCAGGGGGCTTCAAGGCGCTGGAGGAGCTGGAGGCAGCACTGCAGAAGCAGCCCCCTCAGGCCACCCACCTGGAGGACCTCTCCTCCAGCTTCTACACCATCATCCCCCATAACTTCAGGCGGGCACGGCCAGCCCCCATCAACTCCCCTGACCTGCTGTGTGCCAAGAAGGACATGCTGCTGGTGAGATGCCAGGGCACCAGGCGGGTGGCTTCCCTCCCTGAGGAGGGCTCCTGCTGGTAGGAGACTGGGCTTGCCCTGGTCCCCCGGCACAGTGCCCAGCACTGAGGATGTCCCCGCTCTGTGCCTGCCAGGTGCTGGCCGACATCGAGGTGACACAAAGCCTGCAGGCACAGAAGGTGAAGGAGGAGGAGGAGGAGGAGGAGGAGGAAGTCGCCCATCCGCTGGACCAGGATTACGCCCTGCTCTGCTGCCAGCTCTCCCTGCTGGACCCAGCTTCCCGGGAATACCAGATGCTGCTTGTGCCTGGGAGCAACAATGCTGGGCCTGCAGGCACCCGAAGGTCCCCACTGCCCAGGGGGACCGCGGGCATTGTGGGGATGGCTGCCCGAGGTGACACTGCCTTCCTGCCTCCCTCCCTGGCAGCTCACCCAAAACTACATGACAGACCAGGCGCAAACTCCACGTCCTCTGCCTCTCTGGCAGGTGGCCCGAGATGGCGAGGTGAGAAGGAGGAGATGATTATCCCTGTCCCGCAGTGGGGAAGTCCCAGTTGCACCCAGGACGGCATTATGGCTCTGGGCTTCTCCACCCAGGGGGGCTTCAGCCCAGCTGGCCAGGGACAAGCAGGCCCTCACCCCTCTGCCCCTCCAGCCTGGCACTGGGGTTGAATGAGGGGGTCGGGCGGCAGTCCCCCACCCCCAGGCACCCACGTCTCCCTCCGTGACCGCCCCCATAGCTCTGCATCTCTCCAGGACATGCTTTTCAAAGGCCACGACCTCCTGGAGCATCGGCGCCTGCTCTGGCACGGCACCACGGTGGCGGTGGTGGCAGCCATCCTGAAGAGCGGGCTGCGCATCACGCCCCAGGCCGGCGGGCGCCTGGGTAAGGGCATCTACTTCACCTCTGAGAACAGCAAGTCAGCCTGCTACAGTGACGGTCCTGCGACGGGCAGGGCTGCTTGGGATGCCTGCAGGGTCTACGCAAGCCCGGCTGCCTTCGCAGACCCGCTGGCAGGCAGCGGTGGGCATGCCAAGCCCCTTCCCTGCTGTGGCAGGCCGGCCCTTTCTGTCGGGGGTGGCG